CCCCAAAACCCCAAAACCCCAAAACCCCAAAACCCCGCGATTATCTATATAAGTTGAAATATGCCAAATTTTATAATTTTAAAAATGATTGTCACTTGGGGTAAAGAAGCAGCAAATCAGTCAGAATCAGCTATACAGGGCCAGAATGTCTCAGAAGAACTTCTAGATGAGCATATAGAAACAAGGTTCAGAAAGGCCAAGCAGTATTTTGAAGAAGCTTTCGAAAATGCGGATGAAGAAAAACTACAAAGTTCCCTCACAGTCTTTAATGAGCTCTTTGCTAATGAAAGGCTTCAGGCTTGCAGGACTGAGAGACACAAGACTATCTTATTTGAGAGTAGTTTTCATTTAGCAGAAATTCATCAAGAAAAGAGGAGTATCAGCCAAGCACTAAAGTATTACTTCAAATCTGTCCAGATTAGAGGAAATCATATAGAAAGTTGGACAAAAATGGGGGATTTGTTTTACTCACAAGATTCCGTTGATAAGCCACATATGAAGAAGAAGGCTCTCGATTGCTATCTCAAAGCTTTAGAAGCAAATGAATCTCCTGATATCAATAACAGTCTAATTCAAAAGAGTTCTGGAGTTGGGACTATCTCATCAGCTCCTTACAACAAGACAATGTTCTTCTACATTATTCAAAAGCTATGTGACATCTACTTCCTAGAGGGAGAGCACTATAAATGCAGAAAGATGCTTGAGATGTATCTAAAGAGACATCCAAATGATACAGAATATCTTCTGCTCCAATCATTCCTTCATAGACTCAACAGTGATGATGACAGTAAGCAAACACAACAACTTATTTGTGTCTGACATTGATATAGAATACTTAATTGCGAAAGTATGAAAGTTAAAGAATAATCAGCCCTTCGACTATTTCTCGGTACCTATAATTAAGAAGTTCATGATGAATATAAAGCCTCCACAAGGCCTTTTCGATCATAAGACAAGGGTGTTTACAAGGACTCCGGTTCCTCATCAAACTAACCAGACTTCAACTCTTATCATCAAAAAGCTTAATATCAGAGGGCTAAATAAATTTATTTGAGATCTTGATGACCTTGTCTCTAAAATTTGTCCATATTGTGAAGAGTTCAACAAGATTCTTGAGCCAAAACAAATTGAGTTCATCAAGGCAGACATCATCAAGGAACTTAAGGATAATAAGCTCATCATAGAGTTTCCTAATGCTGATTTGAAAGATCTTGCCAGTTGTGTAGATACAAAAGTCAACAAGATTTACCAAGTAGAATTTGAGAAGGAGCTCACAGCAGTCCAAACCATTTCTGTTTCAAACTCGACTTCCAAAGATGTCTACTCAGGTTTGAAAAAGAGGTCAGCAAAAAGGAGATCTAATATGCACAAAAGTGACTCACATCAGTGGGAAACAGAAGCTCTCCCAAACCAAAGAGACGCTGAAATCAGGAATATCTTCACTAACAAAATGAGAAAGTACTTAGACAGAATCAAAAGTGAAATTGCACCTATTTCCTATAACGACCTGATCCTCACAAGGGATCTTAACAAGTCTCAGCATTCTCAGGAGCATGAGGATCCAAACACGACTGAGGAGAATATATAAAATCAAGAGAGTCTTTAAGAAGCAGAGGTGCTTCTAATGCTGAAGAGGAGAAAAAGAGCTCTATGGAGACCCGCCCTAAGAAAAAGAGAGGCCCTAAACCAAAGAAGGAGAGTGTCTATAGTAAGATATATGAGAGTGAAGAAAATGTTCACAAGCTCCTAGTCAGTCTCTTTGAGATAATTAACAGCATGAATGGATATAATCTCTATGACTTTATTCTAAATTTTCTTGAGTTTCCATTGAGAAATAGCTATGAAGCTCAGAAATTAATTTACACCCCAAATAGTCTCAACTTCTATAATTTGTTCCAGAAGGTATATATTACCTTAAACGATTGGGAGAAGAGTCTTCCCTTGGAGAGTTTGGTGTTCCTCACCGAGATCACCTGCAGAAACAGTGATTATTACTATGGATATTTCTTCATTAGAGATAAACTCTTTGATTGTATCCAATTCTATAACCCAAAGATCTTGCAGAGTCAGAATTTCAGTGAGTCTTTACAAGTAAGAATCTGATATCTTCTCTCAAAGTACTTCAAAGATGTCACCCACCAAAAGATAGAGGCAGTTGAACTTATCGAAAAAGCTCAGAAATTATTAGAAAACATTAAGAAGAGGGTCATCCAAGGTACTGAGGAATATGAAGAGTCAGAGTATGAGTCTATAGTTCTTCCATGGGTCTCTTTCCAAGAATGAATCACTCAGGAGAAACTCATCTCTCTTTGGAAAGATCTAGAAATGGAAGTGGACATCCTTTTCTTCGTTAAGCCAAGTTTGAAATCTGAGGAAAATACCCTTCTTGAAAAGCTCAATCAAATTCTCAAGCAGAAGCCATCCTTGGTCGAAGAAGATCTCCCTGTTCGTAAGGAGCTTGATGAAAATAACGATCCAAAAGCTCAAATAGAGTTTAATTCCTTAGAGTTAGACAATGAAAATCCAGAAGAATTGGAGAAAATCAAGGATCAGTTCGCGAAAATTTTCTCTACTCTCAAATAAATATAATGGAGAACTCTTTAAAAAGACGAATAGGTTTAGGTATCTCGAAATTCACAGCAACGGTGGGCTGGACAAGGACATCACCATATATCTAGCTCAAGGATTCCCATTTGAATTCTTTGAATCAGCACAAATCGACCCCATAGAAGCCAAAAAGAAATTACAAGTATGGGCTTCAGGCAAAAATATTGATGCAATTGATGATAGCGATGAATCTGACTATTCCATGAACAGTGATGATGATCTATCAGATCAAAATAAGGATGAAAGTAAACTAGAAAGCAGCCAAGACAGTGAACTCGAAAGCAACCAAGAAAGTCACCCTAACAAGCTCGAAGATAGTAAGGAAGAAAGCAATGAAGAGAGTAAGGAGCAAAGCAAAGAAGAAAGCATGGAGACTAGCAAAGAAGAACCTAACAACACTGTATCAAATCTGGATAAAGACAATGATGCAAAGGAATCTAAAGAACAAAAAGATCCTGTAAAAGCAACTATTGAGTCTAAAGAGGAATCGTCAATGGAATTAGCATCTAGAAATCCACTTAATGAAGAAGATGAAGATGAAGGGGAGAGTGATAGCTCCAGCAACGAAGATGAAGATAGCAAAGATACTTCAGAGGAACTAAGTCAGGAAGTTGAACTAAAGTTCACAAAGATTGAAAGTGAAAGACTCCTATCACTCGGCTTGTTCTTCCTTAAGAGTATGTTCACAATGATAGAGGATGAGTCAGGCAATGTTAAAGACGACCAAAGCTTTGACAGCTGACTGAAATATTGTAGAAAAATCTTTAAAGGAGTAGATTTCAATGGGTTTGCAGCAATGTTCAGGTACCTCTTAATCAAAATGGATATACTCAGAGTCGAGAACTCTAGAACTCATACTTCAATCCATAACTCAGGTAAGTTTGGTCTTAAATGTTAGATTTTTACAAAAAGCTGAACAATAAGCTGGTTTACATAATCAAAGATGGCTTCAATAGATGTGATTTCTACTACAGCCAAATTAAGGATTGGTTTGATGACAAGTGCATTACTCAAGAGAAACTGTTTATGAACTTTTCTGAAGGTAAGCAAAAATAGGCCTAATACTCTACCTCTAATTTTTAAGACTAAGAGATCTAAAATTTAAGCGCGAACCTTAAAATAGTGTAAATTAGTTTCTTTAAAATCAGGGTGTTTCGAAATGGATTCTGATGCTCTTAAAAAAATTGCCAGCATGTTTCATACCATGATGGAGATCAAAAATATGCCAGGAATTAATTCATTAGTTCAAGAGATTCTTTACTGGAATGAAGAGGAAGACAATCTTCTCCTAGAATCTGTCTGAATTTATGGGCCTAATTGGGAAAAGGTGGCAAAATCCTTAGGAGATAAGTACTCTGAAGTTCAATGCAAGGAAAGATATCTCAATTCATTTTGAACACAAGATGACATCGACCATGAAAGAGAAGAAGAAATTTACTCTAACAAAAATGAGCGTTCTGACCAAACTATCCCTCTCTCTATTCATGATGAGGAATCATCACTTGTTCCAGAACATGAGAGAGATACAAATCATTCATCAGAGTCTTCTCAAGACAATAGCTCTAATGATGACTCCAATGAAGGAGATAGTTCATCAGACAAGCCAGAAGGAGATTCTGAAGAATCAGAGAAAGAGATTGATGAAGAAGATCACAAGGTAGTCAATGAAGAGGAAACTGAGAAATCTTCAGTGTCAAGTTCCCACTCTGGCTTTTCTGATCAAGACAAACAGTTAGAAAATTCTAAAGAAGAGAAATCTGAGCCTGAGAGCGAGAATCAGGATAAGAATGATAATCAGAGCAAGAAAGAGAAAGAGAACAAGGATGAGGATGAGGATGAGGACGAAAATGAGAAAGAGAATGGCATCATCAATGAAGAAGACAACGCTAAAAGTGACTGTAATGAATCTGTATACTGAACCCCATGTGGACTATCATCCTGATCTATTGAAGATATACGGACCTCGAACTCTGAATAACCTTGAGAATATCTCTCTAGATCAAGTATTTGAGAAGGTTAAGTATGAAAGCCAAGAAGATTATTATCTGAAGAATTATGAGGAAGAAAAGCCAAAGATAACTCGAGAACATGCAATAAAAATTGCTCGTTGGATGGCCAAAAAAGATAGTGGCATAGAAGACTTAGCTAAACGAATCCCCGAAGTATCAGCATCCAATCTTCTTAGATTTATTAAAGACGAAATGGACCCTCAATTTCTCAAATACAGAGTATTTACCAAATTCGATTTGCTCAAAATAGCCAAGCTTTATAAAAGATTTGGGGATAAAGACTTTGATCAGATCGTTGAATACTTTGATGGACAAGAGAGAAACTTCCTTCAAAGATGCTTCCGCATGAACTTGTATAATTTTGTTCAACACTTGATAAAGCATTACTCTAAAGAAATAGAATCTTGAATGAGTGATTATCTTGTTAAAACATACAAAAAGGATCTACTAAAACTCAAGAACCTCACTCCATGGAGCCCAATTTCAGAACTTTTCCAGTATCATAAGAAACTCGTAGAGAGATTAAAAGAGAAATATCCTGGATTAGATAAATTAGTTAGTTACAATATAATGGCTAAAACAAGCTCTTTAAAAAATTCTTAATTTTAATAACTCTTTTATAGAAGCCCCAATTGAAGCAAAGGTCTCTCTTTACAAAAAGAGGGTTATCATTTACAGGCAAATGATCAATTTGTTGGTAAACTACATAAACCCACAAAACTTGGCAAATATTGTAACCTCTGGGCCTTTGAATGGCTTTAATGTAGTACTCGGAATGCTTATCAGACTCCAGCTGATCATTGCCTATATGGAATGGTACATTAAGCTAGCTAATAGCAATGACCCAACTTCTAAAGGTAAGCTCAAAAACTTAGAGTTTAGCAAGTAAGGATCCTTCTCTAGATGAAATAAGCAGGCTTCAAGGATTCTCTGATTATCTTAAAATGCTTCATTATATTGACCATATGTGTAATCAATCAACGGAGATTATTGGGAACAGCTACCCACTCTTTGTAGATCAGTACTTTTCCCTAAACTTTCCTCTTATATGGTATTTCATGAACAATTATCCTAACCTTTATCCAAACATGAATACTTTACTTTGGAGGCAGATGAAGCAAGTATATGGTATTGATATGTCCGGATACGATGATTCCAGCAGCGATAAAGAAACTCCAATCAAGCAAGAGTCTGAAAAATTCTGGATCAACCAAAAAGAAACTAAAGAAATTGAGCGCAATCTTCAATCTATGGACCAAATTTCTACTGTTTCTCCAGCTAGGTCACGAATCCCAGATTTATTTGATCTGACAAAAATACTCAAAATAATTATAAAACACCCTGTCTACAAGATTTTCAAGTCCGAAGACTATGAATCTATTGCTAAAGTCCTTCACAAAAATTCAAGCCTGAAGAGCTTCCTGTATCGGATAAACAAAAGGATCTCTCACTGCACGCTCATGCTTTTCCAGAGCAATTTCTTCTCTAAGTATGCTTCATTAATATTTTTAGGAATAAACTCCATTATGATGCAATGAGTATCCCTCAGAAAGCACTAAACGAGGGAATCATGACCAAAGTGCTCGGCTTTAATGAGAGGTAAGCCATCCAGCTATTCATACATATTTTTAAGGCTTTTATGAAACCACTTTTGTTTAGGTGCAACACAGAAATTTTTGAGAGAATTGAAAACTGTTTCTGTATGGAAGACCAAAACAGCTTCAACTGTTTCAGTCATGATTTTCATATCTTCGCATGTGAGGCTTTCTTTATATATCTGAATACGGTGTTTGCTACAACAGTGACTCAAAGTGAGGAGGAGACAAAGGTTTATAATTCTGTATCACCTTCGTTTCCTTATATCCCCTCTGTTCCTACAAGGTTTGAAAACCTACAGATTGAAGGAGCCATAAAGAACGATCCCATGAAGACTTTAGAATTTCTCATTGAAATTGACTTGTTCTTTAATCCCTGTTCTTACCATTCTTGCCAACTCAGTGCATATCTGAGGGGTTACAATTTCTCTAAAGCAGTAGAGAGTGGATACACTCGAGGTCTGAAGAAGATCGTCAATGTGAAAGAAGAACTAGCATTTAGACAGACTATCTTCAGCTGAGCTTATGGCATCTACAACAGTATCTGTCATATCATTGTCAATGGAGGTATTACAGAGCAAGAGAAGAAGAGTTTTGACTTCCAAATTCCCAGAAGTGAATGGTTCTTCAGAATAGACAACCTAAACAGATGGTTTGATTCCAACCCAACAAAAGAACTCACAGATTTGCTATTACTTCTTATTAGAACAATCAAGTTGTAAGTCAGTTTTATTAATCTCTCTAGTTATATGATCTCCAGATTTGAAGGCAAGGAATATGACATTATTGCAACCATTGAAGAGAATAAGCTGAGAAATCTCCTGATCCTAACTTGTCTATGATACTTAGTCATTGCAGGTTATAGCCAGCTATGAAAAATTGAAGGTAGACTAAAGTCTGCCACTTTGATTATGGGAAATAGTGTTGGAAGATACCTCATGGCTCTTCACCAAGATGATTGGATTAACTATGAAGTTTTCGGTAAGTCTAAAATTCTATTACTTTTCTAACTATCATAGGATTTCCTAAAACTGAACAAACTATTGAGGACAAAGAACTAATGGAGTTCAGACTCAAAAAGTCTCTTAAAGAAACAGAGAAGCATTATACTACTCTTTGGAAATATCTCGAAAGATTAACAGTTGAAGACGGATTCTCCTGGGAATCAATGACTCCAATACCCTTTATTATTCTCTCTCAAAGCTTAAGTGAGCTTGAGGATGGGCTCACGAAATATTCCTTTGACTTACAGTTCCTTCATGAGGTAGGAAAGAAGGTATTCCAATCATGAGTAGTCCAAAAGAAAGGAGCTAAATATAAAGAAAGATACTCTGTAACAGTTCTGAGCAACCTCTTCGTCCAAGAATGCCACAGTATTGCAAAGATATTCAATAAGCATTTGGATGAATATGAATTTAAATCTGATCTTACTGTGCAAGAAGGGTTTAAAACTATGAACACTTGCCTTACTGATGCTATGATACAAGAAGATATCTTGGGTCCACGTGATGGTAACCAAACATAATTCATCCTCTTTAGGAACTCTAATCAATACCATACAAACTGTTAAAGCAAACCTTGAGTTGATAGAGATCTATCTTCAGAAGAACAATTACGAGAATAAGCCATTTGTTCAGGCCAAGGTTTACCAGACTTTCTGTAAATTTGCCTTAATCAGTAAGTAATGGTGCCTAAATTTCTAGCCAAAATCCCAAACTATTTAGAGTTTTGTAAAGCCAGAATCCTGAGTTTATACTCCAAAGCCCTCATAAACCTTGAAAATGAGATATGTGACTTTGAATTTGACCATTTCTATGGGTCAACCTTAGGATCAGCTATAATGACTATCTCAGATAGAATGGAAATGATCGAAACTTTCTGTGATATCTGAGTCACCGTTGGAGACTACCAACTCCTTGACAAATTTAACAAAGGATTCAAGAGCAGATGCAAAGAAGATACTGATAAGGTAAGCTTTAAAACTAAGTCATAGGCCAATCAAGCTCTCTCTAAAACTGCTGGTGGACTTAAGATCGAGAGGAAAATTCAAAAGATGGCTGCATTTTCTTCAATAAGAGCTCTCAGGACATGTGTTGATCTAGAGTACAAGGAATATATGACTCCGAAGAAAACTTCAAAAAGTGGTCCAAGAAGGGATCCGAATCAGGAGCATGCTACCAAACCCAGAGACTTAGTCGGACGTGAAAAAGTCCCTGAGTTACTAAAAGATACTTTCACTATTTACCAATTCTACAAGAACTCCCCTGGAGGATTAGCCGGCAAAGGGTAAGTTCTAGTCATTGATCCATAGAAAATCTATTCTCAAGAATGAAGAAAAGGAACTTCTTTTCGAATGAGTCTTCAAAATGAGAATAATCCATGAAGGAATGGTCAACCAAAATTTACTCACTATTACTGACAAAGAGGTTGCCATTGAAGCTCTCAAAGATTGTGAGGAATGGTTTGCGAGCTATAACAAAACCTTCAAGACCATCAAATTAGATCAATACAACAAAGAGAATGCAAAGATATTTTAAGAAGAATATTGATAAACACTCAATTTCATATTAAATTCGTGGGGTTTTGGGGTTTTGGGGTTTTGGGGTTTTGGGG